AAAATATTAAGGTAGTAAAATGTAAGCAGTAAACACAAATTGACTAATCATAATAGGAGAACCAAAAGCAATAATATCACGTTATTTTATTATGTTTTTGGATTAAAATTTTTTTTTAATTCTTCGTGGTCCACCAGAGATCCACAGGACCACAAAAAAAATTCAAGATTTTATACGAGGACAAATCAACAAGTATCCGTGTTATTAATAAAGACGCAAATTTTTCACATTTTTTTAATTTTTTAACGTAATTCCCTTTTAGGAGGATACACTTTTCTCAATGCCCTTCCATTATTTTAACCCCTCTGAAAAATACGATTTGTCGAAGTTTGCAAAATAGGCCTCTGTTTCGGTGATAACCTTTTCATTCGACATGAATCTCTTTCCACCGAGTTAATTTTTCAAGTTTGAAAACAGAAAGACGTCACAAGAAGCCAAATCCAGAGAGTGCGGTGAATGCGGCAGCAATTCATAGCGCAATTCGACCACAGCGACTGCAGAGGAGTGAGCCGGTGCATTGTCTTTGAACTTACCGGTTACCGCCGTCGCTATTAGAGTAATTTCCGTGATATTTAGAGTACCGTCAGAGATATTTCGAGTGTTAAGATTTTGGGAGAAGTATTATAGAGTATCGAGGAGTGGCACGCTCTCTCGTGCCTGGCGCCCAACTTTGAGAGTAATTGAGAGGCAAATTGAGAGTCAGAAAAGCGACGAAGTTGCCCGTCACTCGCGAGTACGATCGTAATATATATAATATATATAATGTATATTTTATATATATATATATATATATCATAATTATTAATATTTTCTCACGTAACTGGATTGAATTCAAAGGATAATATTTGTCAATAATAATTGATACTCACATCTGCTCTGCTAATTTATAAATTGGTCCCATCGATTTGGATAGTTCTTCACACTTAGCCATTAATTGATACATCGACTTTATATTGTGATCCACAGCGTCACAAGTCTTACATACTGCATCTCTGTATGTTTCTAAACAGCCAACTGTGAGAGCCGAAGCCTGGGAGCAAGAAGAAATAATTTAAACATATAAAATAGCATGACACAAAATAAAAGCGTTTTCTATTGGCTACACTATCGTTCACCAGTGCAACGTTCAGACAGTGTAGTATGTTTCTACGACTGATGGTAGAAGAATTCATTCAGTGTAACGTTTTTTCGTGGCTATAGTGTGATGCAAATTTTATACACGAATGGGATTTTGCTATATCGTCTCAAAAGAATAATGTAGAGCCAGAGTGACGTTTAAAATTTGAAATTGGAAATCAACCGGGAGCAGGGTTTTAGCGCAGTAATGAAATAGTGTACATCATAATGTGTACACCACTTCAGTGCAACGTAATACTCTTATAATAAAGAGAACAAACCGTTGCCATTAATAGTTAAATTTACGTTGGTAACACTGATTTTGTTACGTTAATGCTTACATGCAACTAAAGCGGTGTAAGGCTACAGTATATTCCAAGAGAAAACGCTATAAGACACAATGACAGTGACTTACGTTTTGCAAAATCGCGGCTAAATTTTCAGTCAGCGCGTCCACAGAAGTTGCAACTTTTCTAGCTTCCATCTCTAATTCGTTTAATACATTATGATCAAGAGGTGGTAATTGCGGAGTTAAGGCCTGTCTATATAAGCATGGAGTTGAACTTCGTGATCCCGGAAATGATGGAGTGTCTCCTTTTTTGGTTACAGGACTCGACAATTTGATCTTGTTCTCCAGATCTTCCGTTACAAACAACACCATATCTCCATCCTGCATTACTCTACCCTCGAACTGCAAGTAATCTATAGCTTTATGATAGCTCGGTGGGTCGAGATCATCGTCTTCTGTTGGACTGTCGCCTCTACTTCTCAGATTTAATTGATCCGGCCTATGACCGACTCCTCCTATTTTTTCTAAACTATCATCCAGAAATTTTCCGCTGTCAATATCTGGAGAATCAATGAGTGATCTCAATTCAGAGATAGGTGGCGAAGATTGCGAATCAAACGATATCTCGGAATAAGACGCCGTCATCTCGTGCAACTAAAACAATAAAACCATTAAATATTGCTAAATGTTGAACATATCTCGTGTATAATAAATAAATCGATAAACTTTATTATAATGCAACACTGATATATGTAAATACAGTTAAGGAAATCCTAGAGTCTCGTCTGCTATATTAAACACAACAATGTTCGCACAACAATCTCGCATAAGGTTACACAGAAAAATGCACGCATGGTGGCAGAGGTTCGGAAAAAATTCTAAATTGTAGTCTAAGAAATAAAATGTAATGAAATGAAATAAAATGTGTGAAACATAAAAATGAAATGTAGAACAATGAAAGCGTGATATTGAAAATGATGTAGCTTTTCGGTTTCTTAGTGTCTTAGACTATATTTCAGAATTTTTTCCGAACTTCTATCACCATACGTATAGCAATAATATTTTTTATACATATTATTTATACATATATTTTATAATGTATTTTTATTATTATATTATTTTCAATATTTTTAACTTAATCTTTTCTCGATTATTACCGTGTAGTATGAGTTATTATTTTCAATGAATTTTTTTTATGGAAGTACGTCATAAATTATATTTTTTATAATCGGGGGCCCCGCTATTCGTCTCTGATGTGGCCGCTAGAAGTGGCTACTAGCTTCAGCGTCATTAATTTTCATTTATAACATTGTACGGCAATGTTCAAATTTTATAAATAAAAAATAAATAAATATATAAAATGTTTTTTAATGAAATTAAAAAAAAACGATTGCTACTACGTGATCTCGAACTCTCTTCGTCAGATGCAAAAATAGTATGCACGCGCCTCAGGCCTCTCAGCCACCGCGATTCTTATTTTAATACTATTATCCACAATACTTAATGTGCAGCAGACCGATTGTTTAATTTCATACACGTAGATTTCTTTTAAACAAGGACCCATTGTATCTAAATCTTTTTATACTTTTTACACTCTCGACCCCGCCTTTCGAGTAGTATGTCATGTAACACATTTTAATTCTTATTTTGTAATTCTTGCCATCTCCTTGTCAGATGACAATTCTTTTCCGTTTTCATTAACACCAACATATTCGCTTAATGCCACAACAAGAATAGCCTGAATAGCTTCAAATAATGTTTTCAGTTTCTCTATATATGCTTGATTTATGGAACGTAAATAAAATGTTCAAACAAATAATTTACCCTTATGTTTCAAACAATTTCACCTTGATATCATGCATATAAAATGCAGGCTTATATCTAACCTAATGAACCAGAAGGAATTGAATCATTGTAACCATGTAAAATATAACATTTCTGTAAATAATCTTGTAGATCAATGCATTTTGCAAATATACTTGTGCTACAGAAATTAAAATTGACCATCCAAAATCACAATTAACTACCATACACAGAACTTGATTATTATTAGACATTATTTTTCTTAAAAAATACGCAATGTACATTTATTTATGGTCCGCTGAAACCATTTGGAAAACTGAAACATTTCCATTACTGTCAATAAATACACACTGATATAAAAACATGGGTGATTCATATCTAAAAGAGCGTTTGATTACACTGCCGGTTGCATCAATCGTCAGGAAAAAATTTAAAAAATTAATAAAAAGTACGTATAGCGATTGGAACTATGTTTAAAAATAATTGTAGAACATAGAACTCTGCTAAAACTAACGAAAATTGACGTCTTATAAGTTAGCGGAACAAAGTGAGTAGAATCGATTTTAACTAATATTTTTATTTATTGCTTATTTGTTGCTAACAAGTTGCCAAAAAAAATTAATTTGTTGGTTGCTATTATTTTCTTTTAAATAATGTTCCGCTAAAAGAAGATTAAGTTAGAACAATATAGAACAATCTGTTGCTCATTCATTTGGTTCGCTTTTTTAAATTTATACATATATATATATATATATTATTTTGTTTGCGATATTCTAATATAATTTCGCTCTTGATTTTTCAGTCTCTATGTCGAGTTCTCCTTACATAAAAATAAATTCTTGAATTTTATCCGCAAGCTTTTCTTATATTTCCAACATGAACAACAATCGTAAACGTTCAATCACCGAGCAATTAATTCTGACCTTACTCTGTCTTCATCGTAATCGATGACGGCGTTCTTGTCACTTCGCATACTCGTCCCCGATTTCAAGACCTCATTTTCGTTCGACTCCATCCTCGTCGTGTAATCAGTCGTCGATGCTAATTTTCAAAAATGTTGCCACGAGAAGACTCCAAAGCACACACCTACACCGCTCGAATATTCGAACTGTTCGAAAATTGAAACAGGACCGACAACCTAACCTAATTTCATCGAATGATCAAACATGAATCACATAGATTACGTATGATGCAAATCACAAAAGGCGCGGATATATTGGCCGATATTCATAGAACATTCTACATTAGTCGCATCGCAACGTCGCAAGCGTGTTGCGAGCGTTGCGGTCCAATCAATATCAAGCAATATCAAGTTAAGCCGTAATCACACTACGGGTTGCGCGCTCTGTGCGATTGAGATTACGGTTGAATGTTGGAAACTAACCAATCAGAGCAGAGCAGTTCCTGCGCGCAACCCGTAGTGTGATTACGGCTTTAGCTCGATCTTGATTGGACCGCAACGCTTGCAACACGCTTGCGACGTTATAGCGAATGACTGATTTATCAAATTCATGTATATACTGCTTACATTTTCAATATTACTTCCTTTCCGTTTTTTATTTACAAACTGCATTTTAATAAAAGATGCTTAATAAAATTGGAAAGTTTTTGGAGTTCAAAATACTTCAAAAGCCTAAAACCATTGTTTTCTATTCAATCTCCTCATGTAATGGCTACAGCACTACGCGCTTGCTCAGCTGTAAACAACGCGCATGCGCGAGTGCGGGGCATGTTTGGCATTGGCGTTAAGCGCATGATGTAAACTAAGCTTTCGATGTTTTTAGGACGGTACTGGTAGCAGAAACGCCAAGCGCCTTTTAGATCTACGAGAATGACGAAGCATATTTATCGAGAAAACGCAAAAGACAGAGGGATTGGGGTATTTTCGAACCTATTTTGTTCTCATACTTTAAAATTATCAGGTTGAAAGTAATTATGGATGGAAAGAGATCAATGAAAATGGTATGTAGCATACTGTTTACTTCGTATCTTCTTTCTCTCTTTTTCTCTCTCTTACTCGCTCATATTTTAAGAACGCTTACAAAGAGCAATAAAATTGACAAGTTATGTATAATTTTCCATTACTTGCCTTAAATGCTGAGTAATTTTATTATGCGCAAATAAAGTAGCTGATTTCAATATTATACTCCACATAAAGACATTTTCCATTAAGTAATCGTATTTTTGTACTACCTGTTAATAGGATCCACTGTCACCCGGCCCATGTCTAGACATTAGTGACGACGAGCTTGTTACAATATCGGTACGGGATTTAAACAGACAGTTGAAATTGCGTGGATTGTCCAGAGAGGAAATTGTTCGTATGAAACAGCGAAGGCGTACTCTGAAGAACAGAGGCTATGCAGCTAGTTGTCGCATAAAACGTATTGAGCAAAAGGATGAATTGGAGTCTGAAAAGACTCAAGAGTATCGTGATATGGAAAATATGCAAGATGATAACAATCGTATGAGGGAAGAGATTGATTCTTGGCATTCGAAGTATCAAGCACTTAAAAAGTTTGCTCAAGAAAAAAAAATTATTATTCCACCAGATTTGGAAAATATGTAATATTCAGATATACCGATTAACAGAAACAATATACATAATATATAACAAATAAATTTAATAGTAGAATGGTTTGGTGAATGTTTTTCAATGTTGCAGTTATTTACAAAATTTTTTTAGTTTAAAATTGTAAAAACTTCATCTGCACACACATATACACACGTAACAATATATATTGTGTACATATAATACATATACATACACACATACATATATAAACTTACAGAGAATTTAACTTACGCTGTAGAAATAGTGCAATTTAAGTATTTTAAGTTATAAAGATCACTATGTAAAATATTTCTCTAATGAATATGATTTAATATGTAAGAAATATTGTAAGAGTATTAAGTTAGAGGACAAAAGGTGAAAAATAAATCCACTGATTTTTCATATATTTTCATGTTCAGTACATAATAAAAGTATTAATCTGCTAACTACATGAATATTGATTGAATTTCCTAGCAGTCGGTATTTTTGTTTATCTGTAATATGTTCTGGAAAATGAAAATCTTCTGGAAAGCACATTAATCGACATACCTCTTTAGGTGAGAAAAATCTAAGTTTTAAATCCGACAAAATTTGCATTTGCTTATTCGAGTCATTTTCGTAATTAGTAATTTCATTATACTTTTTTCTGATTATTTCATCTGTAAGTGGGCAATATACAGATCCTGTACCTTCTGTGTAATAACTGTATCCTTTGGTGAAGCAACAGGAACCATTACTTTCAGATGTTCGTATATCTAATACCCATGCTCTCTTTTGTAGTAACTTAGAAGGTACCAAATATTTTGAGTCTTCAATATTTTCCAAAATATTATTTAATGTATAACAAAGTCTACCAGATTTCTGATTAATTTTACCTTCTTTCCTCGCTAATACTAAATGTTTACTTTTTGGTAATAATTCAAATAATTCAGGAAGCAAATTATTTCCTAACGACTGTTTAAGACAGAATTGTAGATTATTTTTTTTTGCTAGTAAATAATATCTGTGTCGACTGTTTGGTATACCAAATTGACATGGGCTTAATATTAATTCTCTATAGGCATATCCACAACTTTCTATGCACTCTACTAATCTATCTCTCATTTGAGATATTTCAAAACCTTTAACATTCTCAAGCAGAATATATCTTAAATTTTTTAATTCTGGTATCAAGTTTAAAATATGTTGTAAGGAACAAGTTCTGTTATCAAGAACATCCTTTTTTAATCCTAATCTAGTAAAAGGCTGACACGGAGGACTCATAAATATAATGTCTACATTCAATTTGTTTAACTCCTGTGCATTAATGGACTGAATATTTCTATTCATGAGAGCAGTTTCCGGGAAATTGTAATGGTAAACATCATTTGCAACAGGATTTATATCAACTGCTGCGACAACTTTAGCTGCAATTCCACTCTCTGAAATGATACAACAAAAATAAATTAATTAACATCATAGTAATCTTATATGTCGTTCAAAACTGTTATCTTAATTTTTAATCTTTTGTTAATTATCTGCTAATTCTGAATTACTCCTAATGCAATACCTTTATTAGATATTTGAATTTTATATTATTTGACTACCAATTTTTTTTCAATTGATTGTATTGTGTGTGGAGAAAGAATCAAAACTTCCTCTTTTTACCTGTTTAGCATCGCATTAAAAAAGATTCAAACGACGAGTCAAAATGTCTGCGAGCTTGAATTATTTATATTATTCTTCTATGCGAATTATATTATCCTTCTATGCAATTTTTTAATAATTTGTTAGTATTTTAACATTAACTACTGTTGCTTTTATTGGCAATTTTCATTTGGATAAATATGCATTTTAGGTGACATCTTCAATATGCTTTAGGTATGTTATAAGGGAATGTGTCCTGAGTGATTCCTCATAAGAATTAAGTGGGAGACAGCAGTAGTTTAGGAGATGTAGTAAACTGAAGTTCTATAATATGTAGAAGATAACATTGATGTAAGAGATGTATTATAAATAGTGAAATTTGTATATGTTGTACTAATCTTTTAAAGAATGTAAGCAAAGTCAGAAAGTCACATAAAGTTACAAATATTTTGTCAATAGTCAACAAAGTCTTCGCAATTTGATAACAGCTTTTAATATGCTTTGTATTGTAAAGTATATGCATGGATGCAGTAAATACTGTCTTCTCCTTTGGGAGAAGGTTCCACTACTGAAAAAAACTAACCTAAAGCAATCCATTTTTTATTTTTGTATGGAAAGTTGTAAATTCACAAACCACAAAAAATTCAACATGTGTTTATAATTTTCTACATGTAGCAAAAGCAACTCAATATAAAAAAATGGGTTGGATTAGATTAATTTTTTTTGGTAGTAGAGTGAGAGCAAAGCTTACTGTACCATGCATATACTTCACAATGTGAAGCAAGGATCTGCACCTATCTATCATATATAAGGTCATCATATATATACAGAAAATGAAATTTTGAAAATGAGCTTTATATAAATATATCTCAAAAATTATAAGAAACCATTAATTTATAAAGAAAAGTTGAATCTCTATAACATATCAACATCAAAGACAATGAAGAGATGTAATATAATATATGTATATATAATATTATTTCCTAACGACTGTTTAATATATTTATTAATATATATTATTATTATTTAATATATATATATGTGTGTGTGTATGTGTGTGTAAAGGTTTACCAACTTTAATTTATTATATATTTCCTAAATCAATGCCGTCTCCCACTTCAATTTTTATGGATCACTCAGAACACTCTCCATACAACATATCTAAAGAATATTGAAATAATGAGGTGTTACATAAAATGTATATCTATCTTTATTGGTTTGTAATTTATTTCAAGAAAATATATCTGATTTTAATTAATCTTAATTTATATTAATTTACTTTAATATTGTACAAAAATACGATTAATTATATATTAGATCAGTGCAAAAGTATACCCAATTTATCATCCAAAATTAATAATAAAAATTAGGCACAAATTTTTGTAATAATCTAATATAAATTAAGTAATATTTTCGATTATTTAAATTTACCACGTAGCGCATAATGCATCCCTCCAATACCACTGTACAACTCTAACACCTTCATTATTTGCGATTCACTGATTAGAAAACAATATTTTATGTTATACAATGGAGAATAGACAATATTATGGATATTTTTCTTTCTTTAATGATATTTCCGCAGGCAAGCGCAACGCCCGCGATACGGCCAGTATCCACCAATATCCAATGTAGCGAGTTCTAATTCTTGAAGTGAGTGGCCTCGATCACGTACAGCCGGTACAGCGTCAATACGGCCAGTATCGGACATCGGTGAGTATCGGCAGTATCGAATATGGCCGCCGTAATGGCGGCCATTTTCGTAAATGACG